AAGTAGCAAAATGGTAGCTAAAGCAGCAGAATGGCTAAAAGCAGAAGAATGTTAGATAAAAGCAGAAAAATATTAGCTAAAAGCAGCAGAATATTGCTTTAAGTAGCAGAGTGGTAGCTAAAAGCAGCATAAAGTAAGATAAAAGCAGCAGAATAAGAGCTTTAAGTAGCTGAATAGTAGCTAAAAGCAGCAGGATGGTAGCTAAAAGCAGCAGAATAATAGCTTTAAGTAGCTGAATGATAGCTAAAAGCAGTAGAATATTAGCTTTAAGTAACAGAATGTTAGATAAAAGCAGCAAAATANATTCAGTTGCTGCTGGCACAAGATTGATCCCACAGAGACTGCAGCTCATCCAACGTTTATAAAATAAAACGTTTGCGCTCACCTGAAAGACAGGAAGCCGCCGATGGCCATGTGCACCACCGTGTGTTTGTACCAGGGCTGCGTSGGGATCTGCCGCGGGATGTTGCGAGTGCGGCACGGCGCCTGGAAGCTGCCGGCTCGGTTCTTTCCCACGATGCCGCCGATGACGGTGAGGGGGAAGCCCACCAGCACCCAGGCGCCCAGCAGGAGGAGCACGGTGGTGGCCGGCAGAGCCTGGGTGGAGCCGCTCCACCAGTGGACGGAGTTCACCACGCTCCACGTGATGAAGAGAGGCGCTGTGGGAAACAGAGCCAGAGAAGGAAATGCAGCTGCTGGATTTATTCTTTCAATGTGACGAAGACAGTTTTACAACAAACAACTGACGTGATTAATTACAGCCTGAATCACTCACAACAAAGATTTATTTAAACTGTTTTAAAACTAACAAACTGYTGATCCACTGAAAGCTGATTAGTTCAGAGTTTCCAGTTTAATCCTGATATATTAAGAAATCAAAATCATTTCCTGTTGTTTTATTAGCTAAAACTTCAAGGATGTAGCAGCGTTGTCCAACAGTTAAAAAGGTAAACGAAAATTAAAACTGCTGAGTGGATTAAATCTAATCAGCCTTGAAAATAAAAAAATAATAAAATAAATTTTCAAAAAAAAAAGCTACCAGTAGGTGACTTAGCTTCACTGTTAAAGCTAAACCAAACACAACTGACGCTAATATGAGCAAAACACTAGCTAAAAGCAGCAAAACAGATGCCAACACTGGCAGAACTGTTGCAAAAAGTAGCTTAAGTATCCAGAAGTAGCTAAAAATAACAAAAGTGATGCTTAAACTACAATTAGCCAAACTGTAGCTAAAGGAAGTGATATAGGTATATGCTATAAGAAGTGGAATGGCAATTAAAAGCTGAACAATAAGCAGAGGTAGTAGAATAATAGCTAAAAGTGGCAAAACTGTATCCAAAAGTAGCAAAATGGTAGCTAAAGCAGCAGAATGGCTAAAAGCAGAAGAATGTTAGATAAAAGCAGAAAAATATTAGCTAAAAGCAGCAGAATATTAGCTTTAAATAGCTGAATGGTAGCTAAAAGCAGCAGAATATTAGCTTTTAGTAGCTGAACGGTAGCTAAAAGCAGCTAATCCTCAGCAGGAAGGTAGAGGCTCACCTGAGAAAAGCGAAGATGTGAGGATGATGTTCCACACCCAGCGCTGRCCGTTGATCTGCGTGTAGAAGCTGCAGGAGACGTAGCCCGACACGCAGCTGGTCAGGGCGTACAGGACGATGGCWGCAGAGTTGATGGCGCCGTGGCGGTGGACGTTAAACATTCCCAGCAGCGCCATGATGATGATGGCTGGGACAAAAAGGACACAGTGAGGTGATGGGGCTGAGCAGAGCTGAAGCTTCTCTGCTCCTCAGACTGACGGTGATGATGCGACGTCTCACCCGTGGCGAGCGTGAGGAACTGAGCGCCGACTCCCAGCAYGGCGCACAGCAGGCTTTTAAAGGGAGGGAATCTGAACACGTCGGTGTGTATGATCTTCCAGCCGTTGTCTCCCTGGTCCAGGTCGTCGCAGCCGCCCTCCTCTTCCACGTTATACCTGCAGGACACCGGAGGAGGATTTAAAACACAWCTGGGGCCACGAGACCGTGTGGACMACCCTGTAATTCTGAAGACCAACCTGGCGAAGTCGTTCTTCAGGACCCGCATGAGGATGATGATGACGAAACCGAGCAGCAGCACCACCAGCACCAGCGAGTTGATGATGGACAGCCAGTGGATCTCCAGCGTTTTGGGGAAGAAGGAGTAGTCCCGGAGGCGCTCCTCTCTCCGGCTGTAGGTCAGGCTGGACTTGTACCAGTGCACGCTGTAGGTGTGGGTGACCGTCAGGCTGCCCCCGCCCACTCCCACGCCRCCCACCGCCGAGCCCGCCCCCTCCTCCAGCGGAAAGGGCTTGACGTCTTTTACCGAGACGTTGGCGAAGATGATGGAGTCGCCGTTGTACTCAATGTTGAAGTCCAGGTGTGTCCACAAACCCACCTGAGGGAGCAGGTTAAAGGTGAAGACGGTGAAACCCGGAGGAACGACAGATCAGGTGGTTTCCTGCCTTTACCTTGTGGCTRTGAGGCAGGAAGCCGCTCTCCTCTATGTACCCCACAAACCCCCAGATGGGAATGTCGTCCAGCACGAATTCAAAGTAGTACAGCTCCTCGATGGCTTCACGGAGCTCGTCCACCTGACGCACAAAAAACAAACCTGGTGTTTTCAGCAGCTCAACAGCTTTAAAGGTTTTTATTCACCTGCCGGCAAAGGTGAGAGGGAAGGAAGCTTGTCTGCGTGTTTAAATAGCTGTTTGCTAGCAACGTTTACCATGGACCACCAAACAGTAGCCTTTTGCTACTTTACACTTTTAGCCAGACTTTCGCTACTTTAAACTTTCAACTAGCCTTTAACTTAACTTTTGTTACTTTACAATTTTAACTAGTCTTTTGCTACTTTAAACTTTTAGCTAGTATTTGAGTTTGAGCTTTTAGCTAATGATTTTGCCACGCTGAGCCTTCTGCTACTTTGAGCTTTTTTTACCTGGACTTTTGCCAATAACTTTATACAATCTTTTGATGCTTTTAGTTTAAGACACCCTTTTGCCAATTTTAGCTTGTAGGTAGCTTTCATTACTTTAGCTTTAGCCTTTTGCTTCTTCTACCTGATGACAGACCTGTTAATCAGAGTGTGAAATCTTCTTTTAGCAGACGAGAGGAAACACGGTTCAGAAGGTGAATTAGAAGGCTGCCTTTGATGAACAAYATCCTATTAAGCAGCTAAAGTCACCGACTCAAGCTGTTTGTTTAAAGGCAGCTGAGGATGCAGAAGCTGAAGAGGAGTCTGTGTCACACTGAGCTGAAAAACCAGTCTTAGCTTTAACAGATCCTGGACTTATGGTTGAGCAGCGGAAAATGTTAATTTCTCTGSTTAAATGCGGTTTAAAGAAAGAAAMGTGTTTACATTTAAAGGAGCGTTTGTTTTAGGAAAACATTCAGTTAATTAAATAATCCCAGATTATCTACAGGTACTTTAGTTTCTAGGACCCACCTGTTTCTCTGACAGAGTGAGCTGGCAGAGCGTTGTTTTCTCCACGTCCTCCTTGAAGCGAATCCGATATAAAGACTCTGCCATCCTGTCACCGTCCAGCACTTCCCCCAGGCTCAGGGACTTGTGGTGCACCTGACGGARAAACACTCACATAAATGGATGGTTTTTATTGTTCGCAGGTGAAATAAAAGCCTTTATCAGAACAATCAGATCTTTGTGTCACAACGCATCAARCACTGACCTTGTCCGGTCTGCAAACAGGCAGGGTGTAGTAGTGATACGTCTCCTGAGGGTTGTGATAAGGACCCACTTTGTTGACATAAAGAGTCACGTTGTCCCCCGGCTTGTAGCTCGCGGCCCACCCCGAAGACAAGCCCAGGACCAAGACCCAGAGCAGAGCCATGGTCCGCTGGAGGCCACCTGGGAGGGATCCGGTTCCACGGCGCGTGACCCCTGCAGGAAAGACGCACCGCTGGATGAAACGAGTCCTGCAGAGACACGACCGGAGCTTTTCTGCAGCATCACTCCGGTGACGATTTAACCAACGCAGCAGAAACCCCAGGAAGAACCACGGGACACGGTTATTGTTCAAAGCATGGTAATTATCCTGCAAACGTTGAAAATTTCCCTTATTAAAACTGAAACCATGACCTTGGTACCGAGCTCTTTCAAACGAGACAGATTTTAAATATCCATCACCGACACTCACTCTCAGCTAAAATTTTATCATATACGACGCTGCAGCAGCATAACTCACCCTACTGTGCAACAAATACCAGAACTTGACCAACTTGTTCTGGTCTACAGAGCTGAGAAGGTGCAAAGAAGCACAGTCTAAGGGGAACTTATTGCAGACTATGAATTAAAACAACAAAAAACTGGAACTATATCAAAACAGTGCAGTTTGAAAAAAGCTTACACCAATAGATTTCCAGATATGAAATTCTACACTGCGGGTTTGCGATCAATGTAAACAAGGTTAAAGTCACCAAAACCCACATCAACACTTTTATTTACCTAACAAATTAGACACTAAACTTGTACAAATAAACAAAAACTGTCTTCTCAATCCCAAACACCTCTAATGKTGACCTGTTTTAATACTTTACTTAAGTAGAAATTATGGTTATCTATAATTTACTTTTTCAGATGATTTTTTTACTTCTACACCTTACATTTTCACAGTTATCTGCATTCTACACATTACATTTAAAAATATATTAGTAATAGAATTTTTATTTTTTTTGGTTTGCTTTCAGTCTGGCTTATTGTTAAAATATATCCAGATATTCAGCACTTCCTGGCAGAGTTGGGTAGTAACTAGTTACATTTACCTGAGTTACTTTTTGGGGGAAAAAATTACTTTAAGGAGTATTTTTAC